CCCTGCTCTCTCCCCTCCCCTTCTCCCCCTCCCCCTCCCCTGGTCTGTGTGATGCAGAAAGGACTCCACTGCCAGCAGAAGCCCCTTTGGTTTACTCACCCTCAGCTTAGAGGGGAGGAGAAGGAGCCCCGGGGAAGGGAGCAGAATGAAAACTGAACAAGGGGAGTGTTCATGGGCAGGATTCCCGGCCTGCTTGCCAGCCAATCTGGCTAGACTTTTTCTAGCTCAGGACAGGAAATCTGAACTTTATAAACTGGTCCATTTCTAGGGGGCTGTGTTTTCCTTTTAGTTTTTCAGGTTAGGTTTTCCATTTGCTTGCTACTTCACAAGTTCTTTCTGAAATGTTGCAAACTTGTCTTGCTGAACTAAGGAGAAAAAGGACTTGTCCTCTCAGAGGCCAGGAGAATCAGGGAGAGGAGGCTGACCTTGAGGTTAGAGCCCCATCGGGAAAGGTCAGGAGAGGCCAGCTGAGTGGGACGGAGAGAAAGGAAAGGACATAGAGGTTGTCCAGCAACTTGAAAGGGCGTGAGGCCAGGCAGACCAGGGACTTGGTAAGGTGTGTTCAGCAGCCTGAACACACACAGATGGTTTCTGAGGGCAGCTAGGAGCAGGAAGAAAGGAAGAATGGACTCAGGTTGAGGCCTAGGGAGCTCCAAGGTCAAGAGCAGAAAAGCCAAACTGCAGCCAAGACCTGGGGCTGCTGGGACAGGAACAAGGAGCAGAGCTAAGGGGCTGCCCACCCCCAACTCCCAGTGGACAACACAGAGGGTCTGGGATCGGCTGTGAGTAGGTGGGCAGGGTCTGGACCATATTCTGATTGGTCCCGGCTAAGGGTCCCAGGCAGTGGGCCTGGTGTGAAGTCACCTGGAGGAACACCAGTGGTGCCAGCTCAGGGCCAAGGTGGGCCCAGAGTCCTTCCATGGAGGTTTCCCTTGCTTGTCTCTTGGCTTGTGGAATTCGTTCATTTTTGATGCATTGACTCCGTGCGTGTGCATGTTGGGGTTGCCTGGCAGGTCACTCTGCCCCTTGCACCCTTGAGACGGAGCTGTTTGAGGTCCCTTGCTCCATCTGACTCCTCCCCATTCTTCAAGGCCTGGTCCCATTTCCTCCAAAAGCCTGCCCTGATCACGTCCACCCAGCTACCAGACCCCTGCAACGCTTACTCCCTGGCACACATCCGTGCGGGTCTGTGCCCCACTCCTGCACTTGGACTGTTTGGCCTGCGCCCTGGAAGGCAGCAACTCCACCTGGCACTCTGGACTTCCCAAAGCTCCTCCCACAGTGCCGAGCTTATAGAAAGTGCTCAATTCATACTTGCCCTCTGACACTCGGTCCAAACTACAGAGTTAGCCTAGCAAAAGGGCCGACTTGGCATTGAGCCCTCACCCTGCACCTGGAGCCACGGGCACCACCACCCCTGTGCTGCTCGGAGGGCAGGAGGAGCTGAGGCTTCCTTCTTCCCTAGCGTAGCGCTTTTCATTCCACCTTGCGGTGGTCTGTTTATTTGCTCTCTGGACCAGGAGCTTCCTGAGAGCAGGGACTGTGTCCTGCTCATTCGTGAATGTGTCCGTGGTACCTAAGGCTGTGCCTGGCACACTATAGGTGCCCAGTCACATAAGTTAAATGAATAAATGAATGCGGGTGGCGCTGCAAGGCAAGGATGAGCAGCGCGGGCCTCCATCCCCCAGTGAGGGTTTCCCGTGTGTGAGAGGCGGTGCAGGACCAAGGTCCTGGGCGAGGTCCCTGGCCCGCAGCGGGCCTGTCCACTTTGACTTTCACAGGCTCCCTGGCCAGGGGCTACTGTGATGTTGTTAATGAGCTGCAGCCTCCAGGCTAGCCTCTCTCTGCCCTGGGACCTCAATGCCATGAAATCTGGGAAAGTCATAGTGTCCCACTGTTGGCCCAGCTGTCAGCCCAGCTGTGTTTTGCTTTAGGAGGCCAAATCCTGCTTGCCTGGTGGTGTCAGACATTTCCTGTGACCTTGGCCAGGTTTCCCAAGCAGCCACTGGCCGCTCTCCTGATAGCAACTTGGACAGACCTTGTGTGTCCAGATAGAGGAAGTGACAATACATGGAGGGCATTCTAGGAGTGGGAGGGGAGCAAAATGTCTGGGGAGGGGAAACACTGCAGGGATTGGTGATGGTCAGAGGCCCCCTTCAGGAAAGCACTAGGCAGAGGCCAAGAGACTTGTATCCCAGGGGGAGACCAGAGGGAGGGGCTGGGAGAGTCTCGGGCAGCAGGCAGGATGCCCTACAGCAGGCCAGATGTGGATTGATGTTGTCCAGCTGTGGCCTGGGCTGGCTAGAGGGGCCTGGAGACTCCCTCTGAGCCCCAAGCTGAGCCTTCTTCCCCACGGCTGGGCAGAGGGCCTGCCTCACTTGGGGAGCAAGAGCCAGGAAGGACCACATTTTGAGTCGAGAGGGTTAGGGCTTTGGATTTAGATAATCCTGGGTTCCAATTCTAAATTTACCACTCACCAGCTGTGTGACATGAGGCACTTGTCCTAACCTCTCTGAGCCAATAGTCACCACCTGATAGGATTAGAGGGAGGCTTAAATGAGATCGTGTGAGTAGAGCACTTAGCAGATGCCATGAGTTAGTGTTGGATGCGTGTTAGCCATCGGTGGGCAGGTTCTCCTGGCCGTGAGGACTTGAGTGGAGGGGAGGAGGTAGCAAAGGGCAGACAGAGAAAACTGGGGTGTGTGCGTGAGCACATGTGCACACGTGCAGATCTGTTCCAAGGAGAAGTCAGAGCCCAGACTCAGCCTCAGGGTAGGTGTGACTAGCAGATCCAGTAATGGCTTTGGCTGGCTTGGGGTATGGTTATTCCACCAGGACCATTGTCACCAGCCTATTAGGAAGGAGGTTAAGGGGAGGTGTCAAGAACAGGAGGGACCTCCACTGGGTTTGCTCCTTAGCCTGACCTGAGGACCTAGAGGCTGAGCCCTGGGGACATGCTAAGCAGGCTTGGTCACTACCTGCAATAAGGGCCCGGCAGGGCAGTGCTGAGCAGGGCAGGCAGGGGTGGCTGGGAGGTGTCTGGGGGAGCTGTGGCCCTGTGGCGGTGGCTCCCAGAAGGCTGCTCCTGTCTAGTCTCCCCTCTTCTCTGTGTCTCCTCCTCTCTGCATGCCCCACCTCTTTATCCCCTTTCTATGGCTGCCATGACAAGTTACCACACAATTAGCAGGTTAAAATGACACATACTTATCGCCGTATAGTTCTGTAGGTCAGACATCTGACGCTGGTCTCACCAGGCTACACTGAAGGTGTCGGCAGGCTCCTGGAGGCTCTAGAGGGGAATGAATCTGTTTCCTTGCTCATTCAGTTTTGTTGGCAGAATTCAGTTCCTTGTAGTTCCAGTTCTTTTCTTGCTGGCTGTCACTTGAGGGCTGTTCCTAGCACCAGGAGCCACCCACATTCCTTGGCTTGTGGCCACCTTCCTCCATCTCCAAATCCAGCAACGGCGGGAGGACTCTTCATGTTTTGAATCTCCCCTCTGCCTCCCTCTTCGGCTCTGTTGCCCTCATGACTCTCCTGATTCCCTCTGCCACTTTTAGGGGTGCGTGTGATGACACTGGGCACACCAGACAATCTCCCTATTTTAAGGTCAGCTGATTAGCAACCTTAATTTCATCTGCAGCCTTAATTTCCTTTTGCCATTTAACGTGACATATTGAAAGGCATAACACCAGGGGAGGAAGAGCGTAGGGGCCAACCATACCCACCCACTGCAGCCCATTCCAGCTGGGACACTCTGTCCAAAGTGTAATAGCTCCCTCTTACCAAGGGCTTGCCACAAGGGCAGCCCTACATGATCTGCCCCCAAAACCTTTCTGACATCTCCAGCGTTCACCCTCACCACTCCCTCCCCACACCTCAAGCTTGCTGGAGATGCTCCCACCCCAGGGCCCTTGCACTTGCTATCCCCCTTCCTAGAACAGTGTATTCATTTTCCAGGGCTGCCATAACAAGGTGGCTTAAAACAACAGAGATTTATTCTCTCATGGTTCAGAAGGCCAGGAGTCCAAAAATCAAGGTGTTGGAAGCATCAGTTGCTTCCAGAGGCTCTGCGGGAGAATCTGTTCTATGCCTCTCTGCTAGCATCTGGTGGCCCTGGCAATCCTTGGCATTTCTTGGCTTGTAGATGCGTCACCCTAATCTCTGCCTCAGTCATCATGTGGCGTGTGTGTGTGTGTGTGTGTGTGTGTGTGTGCGTGTGTGTTATCTCTTCCTGTAAGGATGCCAGTTATTGGATTTAATGTCTTCCCTAATCCAGTGTGACCTCATCTAAACCTAACTAATTACATCTGCAAAGACCCTATTTCCAAAAAAAGTCACATTCCTAGGTCTGGGGATTAGGAGTTCAACAGATCTTTCTTTGGGGACACAATTCAACCCGCATCAAAACACTCTTCCCCAGATACTCACGCAACTGGCTTCCTCTCCCCTCTCCTTCTCGGTGGGGCCCTCCCTGTTCACCTGATCTAAAACCTGACCCTCCAGACATTCCCTACCTCCTACCTGGCTGTTCTGCCCTGCAGCACTAACATCTTAGATATTTTACTTATTTCTTTGACTTATTGTTTTCTTACCCCAGTAAGATGTCAGGTGTGGAAGGACAGGAGTTTCATCTGTTTTCTTCACTGGTATGTCCAGCACCCTGAACATGACTCATCCCAGAGCAGAGTAAATATGGGCCCGAACATATAGTGGTCGTCTGTATGCTTCCTCTCGTTTGCTTCTCACAACTTCCTGCAGTAGTTGCCAGCGTTCCTGTTCTGTTGGTGAGGACAGGCCCTTCTGAGCTGACACTCAGTTCATCGCCTAGCATGTCTCTGATGAGGAAGGGGCTCTCCCAACCCTCCTAACAGGTGGTGCTTGCCCACCCCATGCCCCTTGGCCTTGGGGGTCTGAAGCCAGGATAAGCTGAGGACAACTTCTCTCCTGACAGTGGCCAGAGCAGGGCTTAGCAGACCCTTGGGAGTGCCAGGAGTCTGGTAAGGGGCTGAAGTGGCTGTAAAGGGGTCTTTCCCCAGTTTCTTCCATCTCTTGACCCTTAGAAGAGCCCTGTGGAGCCCCTACCCTGGGGCTGTGGGTTTGGAAGAGAGGGGGCTCAGACGGGGGTAGTCAGGGGGATGCTTACTGAAGGCCTCCAGCCAGATCACATGGAAAAGTTTAATTTTCCCCAGTTCGAAGCCACGGAAGGCCTGCTACTGCTTTTTGAGGAGAGTAGAGACCTTCGTCTCAGCTGAGAACTTACTTCACCACCCATGCCCCCTCTCCCTGCTGTTGCAGAGGGTGGGTTCTGGAAGTACAGATGGGCCACATTAAGCTTCGCGGAGGGCCCCTTAGCACTCAACTCCTGCCAGCTCCAGTGCATCCCTGCCCAGCAGAGACTACTTGGAGTGGCTGGATGGGTCTGAAGCACTCCATTCCAGCCAGGTGGAGGAGGAGGCAGGCTGTTCTGCACTGAAACTTTCAGCTGCTGGACACAACACCAGGGGTTGTTCTTCACACTACAGTCTCTGTGACAGGTGACCAAAGAGTTGTGCAGTGCACAGCCTGAGCAACTGTATGTGGTGACCCTAGACCCAGCTTCTTTCTGAGAGAGAGAGAGAGAGAGATTTCTTTCATTTCCCCCACAAAGCATGTTGCTTCAAGGTAGTCCTCTCCAGCTGGGGTTGGCTATTGAGGTTCCTTCTAAGTTCTTCTGAAAAGGAGATGGATCCCTGAGGCTTTGTAGTGTTAATATGCATCTCTCCAACCCACACAAATACCTGAGACCCATGGAGTTCAGGTCCTGAGCAGGGCCAGGGCCTTAGGGCACCTTTGTGTGAATTATAAAAAGACAGTCAGTTCTGGGGCAGATGTAGCCCAGGGCATGCAGTCTGCCTATGCTTTGATCCTGGGCCTAGGGGTCCCCAGAGAGGTTGTGAGGAAGGTGGGGGCCACTGTGCCTTTCTTCTCTCGGTATAGCACAGCCAGCAAGCCTCCTCCTTCTGCATGCTCAGCCCACTGCAGACACCTCTGGGTTGGGGAAGATACCCCTCCTGCTCCCCCATGGGGTTAGTGGGCAGATTCAAGGGAAATGCTATCTGCCTTCTACACACTTCCTCTCACCTTCCCCCTTCTCCTCTTTAAGCCTGAAGGTGGACATCTGGCCCAAGGTGGCCTCAAAATCTCTGATGAGGACTGAACGACCCCTCTTCCAAGATTCTCCCAGAGTTGAGGATTACCAGGAACCCTCCCTAGGTTTGGTTCTAGAAAAGGACTCCTCCCAGCCCTGCCCCAGGCCCAGCTCTTTGCAAATCTCCCAGATACCAGCTGTTCGTCCCCTGTCTGCCCACAGCCTCAGCTCAGCGATGCAGAAGGCTGTGGACGTTCCGCCTCTTCTGATTCTTCCTTGTCATTGTTAGTAGGGTTCCTTGTACCCCTGCTAAGTCCCAGGTGCTGTACTAGGTGTTCTGCCCTCCTCCTTCCTCTCACTGTTGTCCCACATCAGAGTCACTGGCTAAGTGATATGCAGGATGTGGATGGTGCACGCATGTCTTCTGGCCGAGTGTGTAGTAGGGTTTAAATGGAGTGGGGTGGCAGGCTGCACCTGCAACCGGATGGGGCAGGCACCTGGGGAATGGAGGAGCAGGGAGACACCCCCATGCTTGTCACGGCCTTAGTGGTGTGTCTGGAATTATGGTTACAATGGTGGGTGACTGGGCTGGGATTGGGTAGAACTAGGATTGTGGTTGGGTGACATTCTATTTAGCGGTATAATAGTGGTTAGGGTAAGATTAGAGGTATTAGGATGAAGTTTTAATCTTGGGCTTGCGGTTAGGGTTGGGTTAGGGTTATGCTAAAGTGGAATTCAGGACTGTGCGTTTTTTTCAAATGTATGTGGTTGATGTTCTACCCTACCACTGATGGAGCCTTACTGAGTAAGTCCCGGCTTTACAGGCACCACCTCATTTGACTGGGGACAGTTCGGCACAGTGGCTAAGAGCAAGGGTCCTGAGTCAGACAGACCTCAGTGTCATCTGACTCTGTGGCTCACCAGCCATTTGATGTGTGAGTTCTTTCACCTCCCCAGGTCTCAGTGTAAAAGAGACCAATGATGATGCCAATATTGGCTGACCACAGGGTTGTGGTCAGAATGAAATAAAAGAACGTGGATAAAGAGCTGAGTCACATAGTTAAGTGCTCAATATGTTATAGCTAATAGTTTTTCTTATTTGGATCAGTTGGAGTTCCAGCAGGAAAGAGACGGCCCACTCGATGGGTCCACACGGACAGGGTCAGAGGAAAACAACAAAGGATGGTGGAGTGTCCCAGGGGTGGCTATGCAGGAAAGCCCTCAAGCCTTCAGGTCTAAAGGGACAAGGGACCAGCGGTTACTGGAACCCAGAGTAGCTCCACCTGTGGCAGAGGGCCACCAAGAGAGCTGCGGCTTTTGGCAGAGGAACACAGCCCTCATTCACCTGCAGTGCCTGTCGGGACAGAGCTGGGAGGATCAGTCCTCCACTGGCTCTCCTCCGGCCTTCCGACCTCCTGCGGGGGTTCCCCATTGGCTGAACTGGACCGGAAGGCAGAGGGTGAAGGGTGCACCCCAGGGCCCAGAGTGGGGCAGAGAGGGGTCCAGGGGCAAGTGGAAGATCTTCAGCACGTTTACCAGTCCTCACAATGACCCTGTGAGGAGGATATTCCCATTCCCCCAACTCCGCGAAGAGGAAACTGAGGTAAGGGCGACTGCAGCCCAGCTCTGCTCGACTTCGGAACCTGTGCTCCCAAGCATTTTGCCAAACAGCCTGCAGAGCAGGTGAGCATGGGCAGGTGCGGGAACATCCAGCTTGGCTTGGGAGCTGCAGAGGACCGGATGAGGCAAGGTATCCAGTGTCTTTTGAGAATCAAGCTACCGAGGCCGGTGAGAGCCTGGAGCGGCATTCGCTGCAGCCCCAAGTGGGGAGGAAGGCAGCTTGTCAGCCTCATTAAAACGTTCGTGTGTGCGGTTTCCAGCATTGGACTTAAAAAAATGGCAACAATGAACATTTCAAGATTGTAGCTGTACTCATGGCATTTATGCCATGAGTTAAATCCTGTAGGATTTTTGTTTGAAAGGAAGAGGTTCGGAGCGATGAAGCAAGGAGAGAAAGGAAAGACAGTCAAAGCTCTTTTTTGGGTGCCTCGGGGCAGGTTCTTCCCATGCGACTGCCTTTTCCAGCGCTGGCTGCTGGGCGAGGTCACCGTGTGGGTGTGTGTGTGCCTGTGTGAGTCGGGCGTGGGTGGAAGCTGGGCAGAGAACATGCCTCCAAAGTCATGATGGAGATTTTTCAGGCCCCGTGAATTCTCCTTTTGAGCTCAAGGTTTTCAAATATATATCAGGTTTCACCCCTTGTCCGGAACACAGAGGAAGTTTCTGATTTATGGGTCCAGTAGTTTTTCCAGTTACTCCATCTTTAAATCTGCCATCAGTTAATTAATTTGCCACTGTCAGAAAAGGCACAGTGAGCTTCCCAGGTGAAAATCGCTTTAGCAAAGTGAAGTGCTATTATGATAACAGTAATAAAAAAAGGGACTGTGAAACGTACACTTGTTTTCACTCGTGAAACTAACTGAATCAGGGTCTCAGCGTTCCTCTTCCTCCTCCCCAAATCACAGGACATGCGCAAACACACTGTCCCACCGCCTCTGCAGAGGGGCTAAAGGGGAAGCTTTAAACCTTGCAGGAAAATTTCCCAGAAAAGGATTAGAATGAGAAAATGGATTAAATGCAAAGTCATCTGATGACTGTGTTGTAGGAGGCTGCTTAGATCCCAGAGGGGTGTGTGTGTCTGTCTGTCCGTCTGCCTGTCTGCAGATGACACAGTGAAGATTGCCAAATGATTCCCAATAACGAAATGTGAAAACACACAGTTCCTTTGCTAGCCACATAGCTGTGGTTTTGTGTCCGTGATTCACTGTGGAAGTGAGTAGCTGTGACAGGCATTCTGTGGGGTTTTTTTTTTTTTCATCTTATTTCTCCTAAAAAAATATTTGTGCAAGGTCTAAAATTCAAGGAAGTTGAGTACTTTTTGAAGAGAAAAATCCCTGTTCCTTGCAAAACAAAGATTACAGATCAAAACCTCTGGAGCTACCACATTTCTGCTTCCAGCCGTCGCCTACGCTGCATTTTCCTCCCCGAGCCTCAGCCCTGCCCATGACCCGACATGTCCACCCACCTGTGCCCAGGGAGAGAGGGGGCTGCGTCCGAGGTGTCTTGAGGGAGTCTGGATCTGTGGGGGAAGGCGGTATCCTCCAAAGACCCCAGCCAGACCACACCCTTCCAGGACCTCTTCCTTGGGGAGAAAATTGATTCCACATGTCTTTCTTTTCTGACTTTTTGGGGCCAGGTCCGAGGCCCTACAGAACACAGTAGCATGTGAGGGTGGAATTGTGAAATAATTTATGTCTTATAGTTAGCTAAGCCTCGGTTTGAATCTCAGCTCTACCACTTAACAGCCATGCTGCCTAGAACAAGTGATTTAACCTTGTGAGCCTCAGTTTTCTTATCTTTAGGTTGGGGATAACCATTACTACCTTACAGAATTGTCATGAAGATTTACTAATACATGTAACTGCATCTTTTAGCTCTTCTATGAATGGCACCCACTCTTATTTGTCCCTTGACTCTGGGGTTACCTGAGCCTTTTGTTTACATCAGAAAATCAGCAGCGGTCACTAGAAACTCTGAGAGTTTGCCCAGAGCACTTGAAGGCGTTTCTCACCCTGGTGAGGTTTCCTGTCCTAGCTAAGAGTGAGCAGCAGGGTGGGAATTTCACCCACTGAAGGCAGACATAGCTCAGGCCTGGAGACCCACCCGAGCACTTCCCTGCTAGGGATGACCTGGGGCAGGTTAACAGCCCCCCTGTGCCTCAGTTTTTCCGTCTATAAAATGGGGGATGTTAGTTCTTCTATTATAGGGTTGTTGTACTAATTAAGGAAACAAATGTAAAGGGCCAAGAAAAAATAAAATAAAATTCCTTAGCAGGTGTCTGGCACATCATAGGTTGATGGGTTTGGGCTGCTAGATTGGTGAAGGAAGACTTCCCAGGTTTGGGGTCCTAGTTCCCATAAAAATCTCCTTTTGTTTATGCCCTGGGGTAGATTTCCAGCCCCTGGGAGAGCAGGAAGGGCAGGCTGGTTGTGGGCTGCTGGACTGTGGCCAGCCTCCGAGGAGTGTATCTTTGACCCGACCCCCCAGCTGTCTTTGTCTACAATGGGCTTGTCCGGGCAGGCCCAAGAGTGAGGTAAATGCATCTGAAGTCAGAGTCCTGTATTTGCTATCCAGTAAGCCATGCCTGCCAGACTCTGTGTGTACATTTGGGGTGAGGGGAGGGGTGCATCACAGAGGGTGGAGGGATCCCAAAGGCCACGAGCTGGGAACTCAAGGGTTCAGGAGGGGGACACCTCATGGCCAAGCTGCTGGTGGTGAGATGCCCGTATGCCAGGCTCTGTGGCTTTGGGAGATGGGTCTGGCTCAGTCCCCTCAGCCCAAATGCCTCTCCTCTCCCTCCTCCACCTCCTCCGCTAATCTCCTGTAGCACTTGCCAGGGCCCTAGGCCCTGCCTGTGTTTTCATTCCCTTTTAACCACTGCGGCTCCGCAGCCATTTCTGTTTTTCATACGCTTCTCTGTGGTTCCTGCAGCACCACCATGGCAGCTTGTTGGAGGGTTCAGCCGCGGTGATGGCAGGAGCGTGATGAGCTTCAGAGCCCAGCAGATCTGAGCTTTAGAATCCTGGCTTTTGGCTATTTGTTATTGGAGCTCGGGCCAGCTACCTTCCTTCTCCACACCCCAAACTTCTCATATGTCCTACCGGGAGAGTGAGACCTGCCTCTCAGGTTGTTGTTGGGGGCTGTTATTGACTATGCCTATTGACATATTAATAGGGCTTGTGCCTAGGTGTGCTAACTCCACCCAAAGCCATAGGTTTTACAGGGACTCAGTAGCAATTATATATGTTAAATTTACAGTTCACTGTGAGGGCTTTACACACTACCAATTATGTAATCAACATTTAGCACACAGACAGTAGTAAGAGTGGGGCAACAAACCACAGTAATGGCTCGGGAGACCAGTGTGCCAACACAGGAGTTGAATGGGTTCAAAAGTCCTTGGGACACTGGTCAGCAAGGGGGTTTCTCTCAGACAAAGCTTTTGGTGATGGTTGCCAAAGTGGACAGAAGGCCTCAGAGTTCGCGTAGGCAGAGCCTTCAAAGGCATCTTCAACAAGGCCGGGTCCTGCCTACTCTTATGATCCTCCCAAATGGGACTATTTTCATTATCTCCATCAACTTTTACTTTTCATTGGTTTGTTTCAGGTCTCGGGTGGTACCAGACAATGACAGATACTATCTTATCACCTCAATCCATTGCATATGTGTTTTTTTTTTTTTTTTTTATTCATTTATTTATTTATTTATTTTTTTGAGACAGAGTCTCACTGTGTTGCCCGGGCTAGAGTGCCGTGGCGTCATCCTAGCTCACAGCAACCTCAAACTCCTGGGCTCAAGCGATCCTCCTGCCTCAGCCTCCCGAGTAGCTGGGACTACAGGCATGCGCCGCCATGCCGGGGTAATTTTTTGTATATATTTTTAGTTGTCTGATTAATTTCTTTTTATTTTTAGTAGAG